TTTTTTGAAAATAGGGTAAAATCGAATGCCACGCCTATAAAAATTGTTTAAAGTCTTTAAAGTAGCGGTTGTGGATGTGGCTCTATGCTAGTGGTGTACATGTGTTTTTTCTTTCTTTTCTTATTTTTCCTTCTTATTTGTTTTATTACACTTACACTAAGTTTTAATATTAATTAATATAAGATTTACCTTAAGAGTCATTTGAACTCGACTGCCAATTTATTTTAGTTGAGTTTCATGTAGAATAAGTAGAATAAATAAATAAATAAATAAATAAATAAATAGGAAAAAAACTATTTGTTCATGATTATGAGGAAAATCTCATTTAACAGAACTCCATTAAAATGGAAAATACGAACATTTCACCTAGCTCTAGTATGGACTTTCTTTGCTTTAAAAAAATGAGTCAAGAGGACACTAAGAAGGTAATTATTTATGAAAATGGTATAGTTATTGTTTTCCTTTTCGAAATTTTTATTTTAGAACTCCTAGTAACGAAGAAACTCATTGGCATCGTAAAAAAACAATGCGTAGGGATAATACAAGCAACTTTCCAAGAGAACAGCAAGTTGTATAATTTTCATCAAACATTTTTTCCACCCACCACTTAATTGCTTTCATTCTTCCTTTATGGAATGGACTTCAATAACCAAAAAATTGTTCAAACTCAAAGCTTAAGTACCACAAACTCACCGCGCGGAAATTCAGAGTTGTTATTTTGGCGCATAAACACTTGCTTAAAATCAGACATCTTCAACTCATTAATTAATACAGGATTATGATCGGAATCTAATCGGCCTCTAAGGATTCTAAAGCGAAATTGTTTCCTTGTTCTGCGACCTCGGCAAAGTCGTTGTCGCCGTAATTTTCGATATATGGAGATTCTATCGCTTGTTTGCGCATACCAATATGCGCGTCCACCCGCACAATTTCAGCGTTTTTACTTTTTTGGAACAGCAAATGGATCACTAAGCTCTTTCGATTTCAACGAGCAAGCAGTCGCACCCAATTGAATCACTGAAAAGTAATCCCAACGTTCATCCCAAAGAAGATTCTAGATCTCAGCCTGCTAATTTGCAAATAGATGATCGGGCTGATTCAGCACAAAACTGTTCTTAGAGGGTCTGAAGGTGGGGAAAAAGAAGAAAATAAAAAAAAATAAAAAAACTTTCGTAATTTAATTGACTCTTCAAGGTGTTCATAAATAAATAAATAGAACCAACACAAAGTGTTTTCATTGCCTTAACCTACTCATAGTTAACGATATAGATCAATGGTCTCCCCAAAAATTATTATCCTATTGCCTTTCCTTCCGACTAAAAAAACATTGGAATATTATGTATTTTTTGGAAGTGTTTAATTACTAGCATTGTTACTTACTTTAAAAACAGGCTTTTTAAAACTTTTTTGAACTCACTGAAAAAACTCGGCGCAAAATTATTTTGTACCCATCTTCAATTTACGAGCATATCTGAAAACACACGAAAGTAAATTGAATGCAATATTCGGTCTTTCAGTGAAATGTATTTAATTTTTATTTCTCAAAATTTTAGGAGAGCAGCAGGATGAATGTGTCCGATGCGTTAAAGCATACTTTGCCGCCACAAATGCCAAACAGAAGGGGATTTGTTTGAGATGCTTTGAATCAAATAAGTTAATCGATGTAACGAAAACAGGTTTTCAATATGATGTAGAGTTGGCTACCGAACACGATTCATCAAATGATAGTAACGAACTTAGTGAGCCATCAAACTTATAAGACAATGTGCGTTACCATTTCATATATCAAAGTTCTATAATAGAGACGATAAAATTACTATCTGGTGTAAATGGATTTACGTTAGGTCTCTGCGATTGCATGACGTTGTCTAGAGCTCTGTTGTTGCAATGCTAACAGGCGTGGCCTCTCTGAAGTTTTCAAAAGTAGCATTTCTTGCCTTTTCGTACACTCGGCCGCAACTGCAGATAAATGATTTACTGAAGATTTTTCCAAAATAGTTTTTGAGGTACCTGGTGTCAAAAAGATGTAACGCTCGCTCAAATATTGTTTCTAGGTAAAGGCTTAGTTTCCACGAAAATATTTATGATGATGGTTTTGAGCTTAGATAGAGAGTGGTATAACAGGATTTTAACTGTGAGAAGCTCTGCTCCGGTTGGCTTAGGAAGAAATTAATTCATGGAATTCGTCGTTAATATCTTTTTCATTTTCCACTACTGGTAATTTCTTTGGATATTCATCCGTTTCCGTATCTTTTTCGTTGGAAATTAAGTTTCCATGTTGGCCGTTAAGAACCTTTTTTTTATTCGTATGTGAAAAGTTTTGAAAATTTCAATTTAATTTTATTCTCATTTTACCTTTCTCTTTTTTTTGCTTATTTTTTTATTTAGTTGAGGAAAATACATCTCGCAAAATTTTAGTACCAAAGCATACTCGCCATCGCCATCCAGAGGAAAGGTTGCATGATCTAAAAAAATTTTATTTGCAATTATCTTGTAAGAAACCGTCTGAAATGGTAGGGAATTCCTACTCGATTCAAGGAGATAAAAATTCTCTTCTGAAAATATATCAGCAGTGAAGACATTATTTTAGTCATTCTTTTACTAAGATTGTTTTTATTTCTTATAACTTACACATGATGGGAATCACATGCTATATAATATGAATTAACCCACAACCAAAGCGCCTTCATCTGGGAAAGTGAAAATCTACGTAGGTACTTTGGTGGTACATATTCGTCAATTTAGAAATTGGTTATTTTGAAATGAAACAGTCTCGAACGATCTTTTATATCTTTCATTCCAGTTTCATAGTTTTTTTCTTGTAAATAGCCTTGAAATTCTCTCACAAAATTTTGTACAGATTTCTGCGATTCCTCCAATGTGGTTTCTTTTTTACCGTTCGCTGTTTGAAAACCTGCACAAACTAGCGAACTTATCCACCTCATCTTGATAAATTTTATTTTTCACTTTTTCCATTTCATTCACGCCAAATGAGTTTTAACCTTCTCCCAACTCCGCCTGTTCTCCTAATGCAACATAGTTAGTTTCTCTTAGCACTAAGTTCTTGAAGTATATTTGGGAGCTTATGGAAGCAAATATGTCATTGTCATCTTCATCCCAATGACAATTTTCACTTATCCCAGTTTTACACAGATTAGATGACACTAAAGTTAAAAAATTTAGGATTAATTTAAATATTATCTTATCGCAGATTTTAAAAACAACTTATTTTCATTTACGTTGTACGTGTCCTCTTTCTGGATATCGTCGTAATTAAGATCTGAAGCTTTTCCAAAGAAGAATTTACAAAGATAGAGTTGTTAAAAAAAAACGATAAAGAGCAACTTACAGTCTGAGATGGAATCGTATGACTTTTTGGAATTCAAATTTACGATGTGTTCAATTACAGTGTCATCGAAATTTAAAAAAGAAAATTTATTGTTTTATATATTCTTTTTTTTTTTTTGTTTGTTTAGAGATGGATTGGACCAGTTAAGTTAATGTTAGATCCATAATCCAGAAACGAAGTTGAGAGCGATTGATGAAAAAATTTAAGCATAGGTAGACTGATGTGGCAGAGTGTTCGCAATGAGAGGCTCTGTTCCGCTGTCAATCCATAAATCACCGTCCTTGTTACTGTACTGTCAAGATCCGGCTAATAATGCCGTTAAAAGAATAAGTGTAGGCGATTCGTGATTGTAATAGAAATACTAAATGTAAAATTAGAATGAAAACTCAGCTGATTTGATAAAGGCAGTCAGTTGCTTCAAATGCCTGAAGTTACCAGCACGAAAAATTTCATATAGATTGTTATACAGGTTAAATATACTGAAAGATTGTCTAAGGATGTCAAACCTCCTGCACTCAAAAATAAGGTGCTCGGCAGACTCAGTAATATTGCAATCCTCACAGATGTCAGAGGAGGAGACTTTGATCATTTTAAAATAGACCTTGTCGTAGGTGTGATTACTCATAAGACGGTGAAGAACTTTAAATTTCCATGTTGTGAATTTTCCTTTAGGTAGAAGCGTTGGTGTCAAAAAAGGCTAAATTTTGTAGAACAGCCGGTCACTTTCTCTAGCTAAAACATGATACTCATCTTTCCATTCTTTTATGATGAGTTTTTTGACTAGCAGAAAAGCTTCGCTGGGGGGGTAGTTTATGGACAAAACTGTACCATCGAACCTAGCTTGACGAGCATGGAAGTCAGCTTTTTCATTGATACTAAAACCGCAGTGACCTGTTTTATATATTCAATCATTTCAATTTGAGATTGGAAATTTGATTGAAAAACATACGGTCATATATTTTACAGCTGGTCACATTTTACCAGTCATCATCTTGCTGTGAAATTCGGTCTTCCTCTTGGTAGTCATATATTTAGGTCATCATGTGGCTGTAAAAATACCGGTCTTCCTCTTGCTGGTCATATATTTTACAGGTCATCATCTTGTTGATATACTAGCCTAAAATAAACAAATTTTATAGCGAAGAAATGAAATCATTTTCCAATAAATTTGATTTCAATAAATTTATTTTCATTGCTAAAATGAATAACTAACATTAACATATTGAATAGAGAAGGCGTGATGCAAAAAGTGAAATTCCAAAATGCAAACATAATTTTTTTCGATAGTAAAACTTTTAATGATACTAAAAACAATAAAACAGCTATATATATAATCTTATATATAAATAATGAAAGAAGTAGCAAAAGTAGAGACAATTCTTTAGAATGTAAACAAAAATTAGAATTTGAAATAACAACCACAGACGATGAGGTATCAAATTAACCAAATGCCTCGCTAAATTCCCTGTTGAAAGTCAAAGCACAGAGTCGCTTATAATAAATAAATGGTTAAATACCCAACTTAACAACTTAAATGGTAACAATAAATACAATAAAGACACTAAAGACAATACAAAAAAGCAATAAACTTCCAGTATTAAATACTAACTTTTAACTTTTAACAATTAAATACTAATACTAATTGTTAACAATTCCATTTTTTTTTTGTATCGTTTTACCTAAAATAACATCCCTGTACTCTAGAGTTTATTGTTAATGAAAATGGGGGACTTTTGCGGACGGCTTTGAAATTAACATAAAGTATTACATTCTTTCTGTAATTAGCATAGAGTATTACGTTCTTTCTGTAAATAGCAGAAAATTAACGTGGGCTTTGCTTGCCTAAGCTTTAGGTGTAAATTAATGTAAATTAATTTAAAATTAAAAAAAGTAAAGAAAAGCGGCAATTTTATAAACGGCTTGTATATAAACGGTTTATTTATTTTCACTTTATTTGCACTTTATTTATTTGTATGCTTTATTCACTACTTATTCACTACTGCTGCTGTTTTTGTTATTAAATTGCCAATTTGTTTGTTTGTTTGTATAGAATTTCAATTGATTAGCTTTACTTCGTCATTTTTTAAGAAATGTTGCTGTTGTTGTTGATATTAACGCAAATTATTTATTTCATTCATGTACAAATATTTAATTTGTCGCGATGAAGCTATAAGCATATCTATTTCTAGAATTCCAAAATCTTAGATGTGAAGATGTACCTACGTAAACAGGTATTTTCTCAAAAAAATCTGATAAAAATATTTAACAGAATGAGGCTTCACTTTCGTTTTCGGCTTAAGAACACCCAAGTAAATCTAATAAAATTGTTTCTAATTATAAATATTACAAAAATTTTAAGACATCAGCTGACGGAAATTATCAATTATCAATAATGCAATGTACGTGGCTTTTTGTTATATCGTTCATCTTAATATCATCCTATTTAGTCCAGAAAGAATTGCGGGGTACATTTAAGCACGCGACAATCGCCAAGAGAATCCTCTCGTGTGGAAATGTTTTGGCAATTATCGCTAAATGTATTCCCTCAACTACATGAAATCTAACGACAATAATATTGATGTGGCTTAGACCAAATTGCACAGATCCTCTTTTTAGAGCTGCGTTTGGAGCTGCGAAAGAAAAATATGAACTGCTGTTGGAAAATAAATTAATCATTCAAAAATTTAAAATAATTAAAAGAAAAAAGGGTGTGTCTAAAATTACATTTACGAAAGGTGAAGAAAAAGAGAAAAAAAAATTAAGTAAAGGCAAGTACAAGAGCATCACACTAAACAACAATTCTCCATAACGCTCTAATTATATTTCATTTGCATGCGTTTTATTGTGCGCTATATGTACTTTGTTTCTACAAAATAAATAAACGTCAAATTGGCTGCCATTCCTTACAAATCAAATTTCGAATGCCATCTAATCCAGCAGATGTGCCCTTAGAGACACTTAATGCCCTGTTAAACTTACCGAGGGTAATCCTCCTTAAAGTAAAGGAGCCACACAGCTCATCAAACGAAAAACAATGTTTGATATGGCCAGAAGGACCAGAAAGGTTAAAGTTCATGAAATAGCTTAGTCAGCATTGAATCATGCGCAAAGCTGTCTCCTCTGAATATACTAACTACATAGACATATCACAGATGGTCTTCCATCCTCTTCACTTCTCCAATCTAAGGTTACGAGGTCGTTAAAGTATTCGATACGTCATCCCTCGCTAATTTTAGCTGTAATTTTGGCAAGACAAAATTCTTGTTTTCGATGAATTCAACTTCGAAAACATTTGAATTCCAGTTAAATTTCTCCAAAACAATAATGTATTGATGGATCGAAAAAAAATATTTCTTTAGATAAAAACACGCATGAAAAATGTTTTAAACAAATTGTAGGTTACGAATTGAAGAGACTACGATGTATTACGTATATATGTATGTATCCATAGCAGCTAAGAAGTACATGGCAATTGCCTGCCAGTAGTAATCATGTCCAACTTAACAGAAAACAAAGGTTCAACTCTGTTAAATAACAATTTAGGTCCTCAAAGGCCTGTCAACGATCTGCGTGAGCTTTGGCAATAAATGCAAATATTAAAGCCATCTTAAATGCTTCCAAACGAGAGTTTATTAGCGAAGAACTCTTGCTGTAACGGAATGAAAACTTACATCGAGAAATATCTTGTAAACATCACAACAAACTTTTCATTGGCCATTTTTGCTGTGTTAGCTTCTTGCTTAAATCTCCAAGAAGATTAGCTGGTTTGTCCCCACCAAGTGAAGCCATAAGTAAGGAACGCGTGACATGTTGAAATTCATGATGTTCAATATAACGGAACACGGACTTACATAGCAAAACTCGCCCAGGGAAAGTTTACAATTCTAACCTGTCCCCATTGTTGTCAGCAGACAATCCCTTTCCGATTAACATTCGTTGTCAAAAGACGCGATATTTTTCGAGATGGAATTCATAAAATCACTGAGAGTTAAAACAATAGTAGCCAACAATGAACAATAGTTTTGTTAATCTATTTATTATTTTGTCTTGAGGTAAATGCATTTTTCATCGCAAAAAAACCGATTGAATTAATTTGTAATCCCAATGCATAAATAAAATTTTGTTAAGAATAACTTTTAAGAAACGAAAATTATTCATACTCCACACTATATTATGAATGGCAGCGGTGCTATATGTACGTTTATGTTTCGTAGCATGCTGCGATCTACGCTTTCACCGTACCTAAAAATTATTATATTTCTCATGAAAGCAAATGTCTATCAAGCTGAGTGTGTTTGAAACGTTTTATGCCGGTCATCGAAAGATAGGCCTATTAGTTTAGTAATATCGCTTCGTTGATTCGGTAGTAATTGTAATAAACATTCATTGTGTGGCAAAAATATTTACTCATTTTTCTCTTAATCTTGTTCAAATGTAACCATTTGTAATCTTTTGCTATTTATTTATTATTTTTTAAATATTGTCAAGTTTGGTTGTTGTTGTTGTTTTGAACTAAGAAATTTGCTTCATTTCTTGCATTATCCGTCTGCGTTTATCTCACATTTATTTTGTTTTTATCTCATATTAAAAAAGGGATCTTTTTCTAAATTCACTGTTATCATCAAATTTTAGTATGATTTAAAAAAAAATTTCCTTTCTTAGTGAAAGCAGTAGAATGAATCGCACTTTACAGACCAGCCAACATGATATTAGGATCTTCTACAGCAGCCTTAATTTTGCGCAAAAACATAACGGCCTCACGGCCATCAATTAACCGATGATCGTTAGTAAGAACTACGTACATCATAGGACGTATGGCAACGTAAATATAAAGGCGTTTAGATTATATTACACAAAAGTAGATTTATACCTGTCTTTCCTTAAATATGATTTGAAAATTGGAATCAAATTGTGCCCAAGAACGCTGAAAGGAAAAAAGATGAAGCGTTTCTGAAAAAAAATGTTGGACTCTTTAACCTTGCCAGAAGCCATTTCCACCACCACGCACCCGACCGACAAATATCGACCGCTCGTCCATGGCCGCCGTTATCAGTTTTAGTAAATATCTCCAGAATCACATAA